AAAAAAAAAAAAAAAAAAAAAATCTCAACGAGTTCTTTTTTTTTTGAGTTGGAGTCTCTGTCACCCAGACTGGAGTGCAGTGGCCGCTCCTGGCCACTGGAGCCTTGACCTGCTGGAGTCCAGCGATCCTTCTGCCACAGCCTTCCAAGTAGCCAGAACTACAGGTGTACGCTATCACACCCAGCTAGTTTTTGATTGTAGAGATGAGATCTCGCCAAGTTGCCCAGGTGGGTCTCGAACCCACAGGCTCAGGCAATCCACTCGCCTTGGCCTCCCAAAGTGCTGGGATTACAGGCTGAGCCACCAAGCCTGGCACCAAGGAGTTTTATTTTTTACTTTTTTGAGTTGGAGTCTCACTCTGTCGCCCAGACTGGAGTGCAGTGGCCACTCCCGGCCACCGCAGCCTCGACCTGCTAGGCTCCGGCGATCCTTCTGCCTCAGCCTTCCGAGTAGCCAGAATTACAGGCACGTGCTTCCACGCCTCAGCTTTCCAAGTAGCTGGAACTACAGGCAGGTGCTACCATGCCCGGCTATTTTTTTTTTTTTTTTTTTTTATTGTAGAGATGAGGTCTCGCCAAGTTGCCCATGTGGGTCGCGAACCCGCGGGCTCAGGCAATTCACTCACCTCAGCCCTCCCAAAGGCGTGGGATTACAGGCCGAGCCACCGAGCCCGACTTCCTAATTTTTTTACTGTTCAATTTTTCATTATGTCTTTTCTAGATAATTTTTTAGATAACTAACTTAAAAAAAACCTGTTTTTCTAACAGAAATAAAAATCTGAACAACTGGCTAGTTGCAGTGGCTCATGCCTATAATCCCAGCACTTTGAAAACTGATGTGCCCAAGAGTTGGAGACCAGCCAGGACAACATGGGTAAGACCTTGTCTCTATTAAAAAAAAAAAAGCCAGATGTGGTGGCACACCCTGTAGTTTCAGCTCCTCAGGAGGCTAAGGAGAGACAACTGCTTGAGCATTACTTTCTAATATATCCATTTAGAGCATTTCAAAAGCAAGTCTTAATGCAAACCAATACCTTAAAAAGAAATTTTAAAAGTCAGTTTTATTTTAAGAGTTTGTACAGGGTAGACAAAGTAGGCCACATTTTATACTTTATTAAACACAAACTATTGTACTATAAATACAAAATAAAGAAAAAGTGAGGCTAATCATCACAAAGGGTGAAAACATACACATTTGAACCTAAAAGGCTGCTTTCTACATCTGTGGCAATGTAATTTCATGATTCTCTACCGATTTCATTTATAGAACAAATCTCTATAATCAAATTATCATTCATGTTCAAGCTCCCACATGGGAAGTAGTAGGTGAATATCTGTAGGAATACAATTTATTGTCTGCGCCCCCACTCAGAAGTAGCTGCGTAAAAAGAGAAAAAACATAAGTAAATATAACTATTTCATATAGTAGCTAACTATTTAAATACTAATGATTTTCATGGCAAAAGGAATTATGGATGCAGCTAACTTGCATTGAGAGATGGTACTTAAAGGGACCAACTAGATCAAGTTTCACTACTATATTATAATACAGTATATAAAAACATTAAAAGTGATCATTTAAATTTGGTTGAGGCACAATATGCTATTGCACTTTCTATGAAGCACTTGCTAAGATATGTAATTAAGTTTGAAGGTGATTTAACAATTAAAGTTTACATATTAAAGGAATGTAAAAGGTTTTTTTTTTTTTTTGAGTTGGAGTCTCACTCGATTGCCCAGACTGGCGTGCAGTGGCCGCTCTCGACCACCGCAGCCTTGACCTGATCCTTCTGCCTCAGCCTTCTGAGTAGCTGGAATTACAGGCATGCGCTACCATGCCCGGCTGATTTTTTTATTTATTGTAGAGATGAGGTCTCGCTGTCCAGGTAGGTCTCGAACCCGCGGGCTCAGGCAATCCACTCACCTCAGCCTCCCAAAGGCGCGGGATTACAGGCTGAGCCACCGAGCCCGGCTGAAATTAAAAGTTTTTAAGGGACAGCACATTAACTGTTTATATATTACAAATTATTTGAGTAGCCTTACGACCTGGAAAGAATTCTCAGGCAAGAAGAGCTTATGTTTATACATAAAAATAATTAAATTGTATTCTTTAGACAGATTTTCTTTTCTTTTTTTTTTTTTTGAGTTGGAGTCTCACTCTGTCACC